GTGTGTGTGTGTGTGTGTGTGTGTGTGTGTGTGTGTGTGTGTGTGGAGTGGGATGGCCTGGATAAAGCCTGATAAAAATAGGGCGGAGGCTTGTAAGTATCGGTAGCACCGAGATTAAAACTGCTGAATTATTCATTGAACGGGCATGGCAACAAATCTATTTCGACGTTAACGCACGATGACTGTCCCTCTAATCTTGATCTGTAGGCTAACTGGTAGCATCAAATGAATGATGTTCATGTCATGAGTGCAGGCATTTGAACTCCCAACACTGCGGTGGACTGTTTTTCTTCCACCAACTGTAATTCAACCGTTGACTGCCACCGATGTATATATTCGTCAAGTGTATTTTTCAACGGGGGTGGGTCATGGACGAGGGTCTTGCTCCAGTTTGACTGTGAAATTTTGGTTTTTAAATGACTGTATTGACTAAAAAATGATGACAGTTTTGCATCTGCCTTGGATTTGAGATCCGCACATCTTTTGTGTCGAAGATTACGATTAGGGGGTGAATCTCATCTTTTCATGTCAATTTTGAGGGAGAGAAAAAAATGCCAACACAGAAGTCAGACAAGTTTAGGCATTTATGTGTATGTATGGTATACAAGTCATATATTTGGGCCACAACATGAGGTCTGCCTTCTGATGAGTTCCAATGCAAAAACAGGTTGTGACACTTCTTTCCTGTGCATAGATTATTTTTCTCAGCACATCGGGGAGTACCTGAATGTCCTGTCAGCTCTGGAGAAGCTCAACGTGGCCATTTTAAAGGCCATGTATAAAACTAAAGCGGTAAGATTTTGTTCGGAGTTGCATACTGTTGCTATTGCAATATAATGTGGAATATTGTGTATTGTTATATATATATATATTGGGGGAGGGTAACAGTCAGTAAATATTGTTGGGCCATTTATGCTATTACGCTAACAATATGGTTCCTTGCCCTGTAAATAGCTTTGATTGTCCTCAAAAAACAAAATCTTGCAAATTGGAACAAACATTTGCTGGGGGCCTATATCCAGATGCTCACCAAATTAATCGTTTTTTTTTCAAGGATCCCCACAATGACTTCAGAATAGTTTGAGCCGCGAACAGTAAGTCAAGTGTGCTCATTAGAGGAGACAAGCGGAAGGGAAATGTGCGCTGCATAACTGCGCACGCCGCCTTAATGAGCTGACCTTCCGCCTGTTTAAAAGCGGCCCGAGTAGCGGGAAAATCCTCTGAGGGTACGCCGCCCACTGCTCGGTGCGTGTCGAGCGTTTGTTTTGACAAGGAGCTGCTGCGCTGTTGCACAACGTGTCAGCAGGATTCCAAAGCGAGGTGGCAGTGGCTCTTCGTGTTGAGGGACAGGAGCAGCAATTATCAGGCCTATTAAGAGTCCGTCTCAATCGCATGAGTTTATGCGTCATTTGTCTGTCAAGACAATGATATGTCGGGTGTGTGTTATTCATCGAGGTGACAAAGTACTTACTGTGTACTTGGGTGGAAGTATGGATAGCTACAGTATGGAAAAAGAAAAACAATTGGTATAAGTAGGAGTGGTGATCTAACACCTGTTGAAGTGAAACAGGACAGACTCTGAAATGCTCTTCAGTACTTATTACCATACATAGTGCACACACTTGGAAGATAAAAAACAAAACACTTTAAATGTTGCTCTTTGCTTCAAACCAAAGGCTAGCTAGCGTTTTATGCTTGCTTAACAAGCCTTGTGAATGAGGTGAACTGACTAGCAAAGAAATGATAAATTTTGCTAGTGAGTAATAATGGAAACAATACTCCTGACCTGTATTTATGTTTTAGATGAGGTGGAGATTTTGTGAATGCCATACGATGCTGGTTTTTCGCACAACACATTGGCCACGAACCATTCTTGTAGCTGACATGATCAAAAAGCACCATGGATGGCAATACGGTTCAACCTTATTAGTCAGTAAAACTCAATTGCGATTGAGATCTCCATCATCCGAGATCCTTTTCTTTGTTTCGGTTTTCAGTATGTTTTTGAATCATCCAAGCAGGTCGAAAAAAAGGTAACGAATCCAGTTTGACAAAGTAATGTGTACAGAGTACACATATCGGTTTTCAAATGTAGCGAGTAACATTAAAGCATTGTAAGAGAAGTAACTTAACTGAAGAACAGATTTTTTTTAAAAACCAATCAAGGAGAGCGACAAAATATTGCAATTTTTGTGCCTGAACAACAATGCGCGGCTTAATGTGTCCGTCGATTTTCAGGAATACCAGAACTCCAGCGTTCTGGGCCAGTTTGTGACCCGCTTCCTGCTGCGAGAGACGTCCACACAGCTGCTGTCGCTGCAGAGGTCGCTGCAATGTGCCATGGAGGCTGTGGATGAGGAAAGCGCCCCCAGTTTGTCAGTATCAGCGCTTATTGTTTTTTTTTTTTCATTTCATTCCACCTGGCAAGTTCAACACTGGAAAGTAAAAAAAAACCCAAAAAAACAATGATGTCAAGTCAGCAAGACTTGTCTAGCTTTTGGAGGCTTTGGAAAACAATACACTGGAGTCGTAAACAAATCTTATGCAGTTAAAAAAAAACAATACAAATATTTTCATGAAAAATTAATAATGTGGGTTTGGAGGAGCTTTTTTTTTTGTGCCGAATTTCCTACATTCTGGTGGTGTATTGTAATGGCTGTTATCGGCTGAATAATGGCCAAGTTGAAGGACATAAACAGGTAGGCGATCCAAAAGATTATTGCAAAGAGAAAAGAAGCCCGCCCTGCCATTATAAAGACGTAAGCGAGGATGGCCTTGGGAGCAAGCAGTGAGCAGCCTCAGCTAATGATTTCGCGTCCCACTACTTTTCTTTCAATATCTCGCCCAGGAAATGGTGGAATGTGCAGAATTCCAGTTCAAACAGATGTCTGGCTAATAGGCTGGACTATATAGGGTGGATTTGTGTGTGTGTGTGTGTGTGTGTGTGTGTGTGTGTGTGTGTGTGTGTGTGTGTGTGTGTGTGTGTGTGTGTGTGTGTGTGTGTGTGTGTGTGTGTGTGTGTGTGTGAAATTCGGTGTGAGTCATTTCTGCTGCATTGTAAGCGCTCTTTAAAACACCACGTCATGAACTTCTGGATGTCACACTGCTTTGATTAAAAAAAAAAAAAAAAAAGTAATTGCCACATTGTGACCGAGTTCAAATGCAGATTGTCAGTTTCCACCAACAAAATGTTTGGGTAATTTCCTGGCGGAAGTGAGGATGGAAATATTCCAGGTTGGAAATCGCAGTCAGTCACTTTTTCGTTGGCCGTTTCATCAACTTCTTCTGGTTTCCACGTACATCATGCGCCGATATTTCCCTCAGCCCTTTCTTGTCCTGTTGTGTTAACAACCCCCTTTTTTTTCCTCCCATGGTGACAGAGGAGAGGTGGAGATGAGGGGCCAAAGCTGTGGTCACCTGGTCCCAAACGCCCTGCCGAGCAACGTCCCCCCATACTCCCAAAACACGGGTAAGCGCAATATGAGCGAGACCAGCTTTTCAAATCCGTCTTTCCTCCTGAAAACTGAGGCTTCAAATACAAAATATCCCAAAACAGTTCCTGCAAATGTATGTGTTATGAGAAAAATAATTGTGACAACTTGTAATAATCCACGGTCAAAAAATAACAAGCACGCTTCATGATTTGTGGTGACTGTTTTTCCCTAGATGAGGAAGCCGAGTGGAACTCTCAGATTGGCCGGCTCCAGCTGCTGCTGGATAAACTGGAGTGTCAGGTATGAAACGTTGAGATTGCGTCACTGTTGCCGGATTTGACGTGGAGCGCTCTTCTCTTCTTGCACTTCCCTGACCCATCGTCACTTGCCAATGCAACCACACGCCACTCCGCTGCCTCATGCGGAACTCTTTCATCCTCACAGCGGGGATCCACAATTCAATATCGCAATGTCTACGCTGCCTGCACACAGCTCAAACCTCAGAACACACACACACACACACACACACACACACACACACACACACACACAGACACACACACACACATAGTCCCTCTATTTTAGTGCCGCGTCAAGTGTGTGGTCTCTTGCACACTTCTGGTTAGAAGTGCAACGTCTACTTCTTGTTCACTCATAACTGTCACTCATTTGCGGGAACTCCAAAATCTATTCTTATTGTTGTATGTCAACACGTGTTGTTCTTTTCTTTTTTTTCTTTTTGATAGAATCCAAAGTTGGAGCCTCTGAAGGGGGACACGACCACGTCTACAGCCGTAAGTCAACAAAAAACTTCGGAAGTCTGACATTCATTTTGCGGCTCCTTTTTATCCTTGATTTATTTTGAGAGAACTTTATCAAACACGCAATTAATAAAATGAATGTAGTGTAGCTATGGAAAGTATATCTACAGAGGGACAGTGGGAAACTTTTTTTGGTGTGTGTGTGTGTGTGTGTGTGTGTTGTTTTCTTTGCTTGTGTGAAGCCTGGCAATCTTGACTTATCAGTGGAGCTGCAGTCTAGTGGAAAAGCAAAATTAGAAAAGGAAATTTATCGAAATAGTCTTGCAGATGATTTAATTCATTGTCAGAGGTAACCATGGTGACAGTTCGATGAAAGTTAAATCCAACAGGAATTCATCAATGGATGTTTTTGCACATTTCCGTGCCGACTGAAATCTTATCGATGTTCCGAACGCAGCCCGCAGTCTGACTCACTGTGCAGAAGGATGACGTTGAAGGCCGCAACAGACCTGAAGTGCTTTCATTTTGTTGTCTCGTTACCAACAGAACATTCTGCTGGTCCAGAGGAAAATGGCAGTGAACAAAAGTGATCTTGACAACTTTCGCAAAGTTCTCAAGAGCTACGTCGATGCCACGTCGGCCCACCCGGACAACCTACAGTCAGTATCCTGTCATAATATACCAGCCCATTGTTCAAATACACGCTGGACAAAAATATAATGGATGTGGGACGATTTGAAGTAAATGAAGCAAATGCTATTCGCTTTGGAAGAGTTGGGAGGCTGGGAGTGTCGGGGAATGCACACGGGCTCCAAGTGTTCCCGTCGGGTTTCGTCGGAAAACAATTTTGACACTTAAAAAATCTCACCGGGCATCCACGGCAATCACAGCCTGTCACGTTTGCCCATCCTATCCTGCCACGTTATCTTACGACCATCCCGTTTCGACCGCGGTGGCCCAAAATGGAAATGAAGAGACCGACATGTCACGAAATAAAATTAAAATACAACTCATGCAATTGCTAGAATGTTACCTCATACAAATGAATGTAATTTTATCTTCCAGATCGTACTGTGCAGCATTGTGTTTTTATTCCTTAGATGCTTACTTAAAAGACCAACTAACGGTATTTCACAGAAATTTGATGTTGTGCATTTCTCACATCTCCTTTCTTGACTTCAGCGTGTCCGTTCCAAAGGTTCCGGAAAAGTCCTCTTATGTCATTTATGAGTTCTGGCGAGACCGCCTCTCCTGGATGAGGTCAGTATTAGCGCTCAATGTGTTTGCTGGGATGTCATGTACTGTACTTTACATTTCAAGCATTTCCAAAAAGTCTCAGTTCTCAAAATCAATACATCATTAATTACTTTTTCTTTCACTTTTCAGCTACCTGCAGTCCAGCAGCAGCAAAGCCTTCCAGCGCTGCGTCATCAACATGCTGGAGGACACTGAGATTGTGTCTACAATGTTGCTTCCAGGTGGGGATATACGTCAATGTGTGTCTGTGGGCGTGAGGACGTCACGATCACCCATTTGTCTTGTTTACATGTTTCAAATTTGGGAGCAATCAGACAAAATCTGAAACAGCCAAACTGACCCGAAAATAGACGCTTCAAAACAAACATGGCATAACTTTTGGGTATGTGTTTTTGAGGCTTTTTGTGGGTCTACTCGTGATAGAAACGGGCTGCAGTGGCTGAATTTTCAAAAAATGTATTTCTGAATATGGGAAAATACTCAAAATGGTGATTTAAGTGACCTAGAAATAGCAACAATGAAGAAATGAAACAATTTATTGCGGGAGTGAATGTCAGTATGTTTTTTTCTCCCCTGCAGCTTCCTGGTGGATTATGACTAACAACTGAGTGTCACATCCGCTGCCTACAACGCTGTCATACGGGAGCTAGAGCATCAAAACCCATTCACGCACATGGCCACACACGCGCACTGCCTGCTCCGCGAGCTGGTTGTCATCCCACCTGCTCATTATTTTGCTCTGAGATGCTCCACAATGTACATCCTGTATAATTGTGTACGAGTGGGTTGTAGAAGACATTTAACTTCCAAACATGCATGACAGGAATAAAGACTTTTTCATGCAATATGCAGTAGTTGTATACTGTATTTTCTATATACATTATATTGGAGAAACCAGGGGTTCTGATTTAAGAAACTTGTATCAGACTCGACTTGACTGTACTTAGAATAAGGTACAGAAGGCGCCAAAGCATTGATATTAATGGTTTGGCCTGAGTAAGAAAACAGCAATTCGGTAAGCTTTTAAGCAATAAACTTAACCCACTGAGGCATCAAGAAACCTATTTCATCATCATCGTGACTAATAGATTTATTATTGTGCTATACTTGGGAGCAGATGTCTCTCTCACACCTGTGTTTGCTGCTCACTGCAAGGTGGCCGCCAACATCTGTCATTCTCTCATAGCGTTTCATAGTATACACAAAAAAATATGGACACGGATATACACACATAGTAAACTACATATATTTTTAATCATTTCCAATTTATGAACAAAATAAGTCCTAATTTTTTCTGGGTAAAGCCATGGGAAGCCGCGGTGTATCAAGGTGCCGCACCACCACCTAGAGGACAATGTGTGATCGTGCACACTCACCACAAAACCAAATGATCAACTCGAGCATTCAGAAATAATAATTAAAAACAGCAGAAACAAATCTTTCTTTATAAGCCTATATTTCTGCAGATAAAGGTTTTGTATTTTGAATAACTCAAAGTAAAGTGTATGGTGGGGCCTGAAGCCGTGGGAGGGGTCCAGATGAGTTTTCAAAAAATGCCCCCTGCCTCCTCCCAGCAGCTAGCAAGATTTCGGAGTTATGTGACGATTTAAACATTCTTCTTGATTTTCCAATACGATATTTATTTAGTCATTTTTCTCTTTTTAACCCTCGTGGCATGCGCACAAACAGGTTGATCTGTGAGCATTTGAATGACAGTGATACATGAGAGAGAGAGAGAGAGAGAGAGAGAGAGAGAGAGAGAGAGAGAGAGAGAGAGAGAGAGAGAGAGAGAGAATATCGTTCCATACTCTGATCAGTTAAAGATCAATTGTCACACAAGCGGTGTCCATAACACAAGACTGCTTTCTTTTTATTTGAAAGATTACTTACTATCCATTATAACTCAACGAAGATAAATGACAGCGAATTTTACACCGCCCCCGTGAAAGCAGTTCTCCCACAATCTGCGAATGTGAACTACACCTCCATCAACATGAATGTATGTGGGTGATTAAAAGTCCTCTCCTCTATAAAACTAACAAAAATCGAAAACAAACCAGGTGTATAGTGGATCTCAAAAATGCAGACTCAGATAAATGGTACAGAAAATGTACAGAAGTCGAATTTTGTTTTGTCGTTGCTTGAGGAACGGAACTCCATCGTGAACGGTCGTGAAACGAACAATTGATTCATGATTATGTAATAAGAGAATGCGGCCACAGGGTGTCGCAACTGCACCATTTGCAAAAGGTTTGCTCTATATGAACGATCATCTCACAAGGATGATGAAACAAAAAACACTTCAATTGGCCGTCCACAAAAAAAAACAAAAAACAATGCAACCAAGCATTTCCTTCATTAAATAAAATAAAATCACATTAATATTTGTATAGCACGTTTCATACATAAATATACGACACAAAGTGCTTCCTTCCTAATAAGCGTCATTGGTGGGCCTGTCCCAGCTGACATTGTACCTTGACTTTGTACCAAGCCATACAAGTACAGTATATTCATATTCATTCAGTCATTCCTATAAACAACCCAGGAATGTTATCTCTGTTCCTAAGAAACCAAAGTAATAAGAGGGCTGAGAACACGGAATGTATTAATTTAGAAAAAAAAAAGCATGATTCAAAGAGCCAAAAAGTCATGTGTGCCTGCGTGATGCTGAAAAACAAACAAACAAACAAACAAACAAACAAACAAATAGTTACAGTATTTCAGTCCGAAAACAATATATTGAACCATGACCCATTTTGAGTGTGCAGGTAAAACCCCAGCAATTGACTAACTAGTGATGGACAAATGAAGCTTCATGAAACACTTGTGTTGATTTTTGACTGCTCTATAAGGCGGTCTTGGTTTAAAGACGCAGTAGAATGTAATAAATTTGTATGTGGTGTTTGGCCTGTTGGTGTTGGTCTGAAATCACATTTTTTATTTTGTTTGGGTTTTTTTTCACATTTGGATTGGATGACATCTTAAAGGTAAAACATTCAAGCAGTGTTGTTTGTTTGTTGTTTTAACCGATAAAGGAGCTGATGGTAAGCACAACAAAGTCTTGTCTAGCAGGTGTAAAGAGGACAGGCCGTCGGATGTATACTTAACAGGCCTTTCCTCTTCTCGAGGGGAGTGAAGCGGGGGTGATTGGGCTCTGGAAAATGTATTGGTCGAGTTGTAAAAACAGCCCCCCCACCCCCACCAAAAAAAAAAAAGGAAAGGAGGAGAAGGAAAATTTTGGGGTGAGGGGAACCGGAGCTGTGGCCTGCGGATGAACCCATCGGGGACTTTGCTTGGCGGGGTCATTCCAAGTTCAGGTCTTTCCCTCGCTGACTCTGCGAGAGCGGAGGAGCTGTCCATGGCTGAAGGGGCCTGCTCTTGACGGCCTCCAGCCCCTGCTGCCAGCCCCCCCGGGGCCCTGTAATACAAACCCATTTCCAGCAGGAGTTCTGTGCAGTGTGTGGGGAGTGCGCGGGTGGTGGGAGCCATTTCGGTACATGCAGGTCATTCTGAGGCTGGGAGGGGATCGGAGGGCCACCTTCGCCGGTCAAAAATCACCGGCCGCAATGTGACATAGTTACGTTTTTTTTGTCTTTGGGTTGCTGTTGGAAAGCAGCGCTTCTCAAATTGGGCTGCACGAGCCATTGCTTTACGCTATTAAGTGCGTAGCATACACTGAAAGAAAAGCTGTGTTGAATTTATCCATCCATCCATCCATCCATTTTCCGAACGGCTTTATCCTCACAAGGGTCGCAGGGGTGTTGGAGCCTATCCCAGCCGTCTGCACCGAGATGAACAACCATCCACGCTCACACTCACACCGAGGGACAATTTTGAGTGTGCAATCAGCCTGCCATGCAGGCTTTAGAATCTGGGAAGAAACCGGAGTACCCAGAGAAAACCCACGCAGGCCCGGGCAGAACATGCAAACTCCTCACAGGAAGGCCGGAGCCAGGATCAAACCCACAACCTCTGCACTGTGAAGTCGACGGGCTAACCACTGGACCACCGGGCCGCCGTGTTGACTTTATTTGATTGTATTTTGTCAAGTGGGCGCACAAAATAAAATCAACTGGATCCCAATACATTTTTTTGTTGAAGTGTAGTATATTTTAAAAACATGTCGCCGGATCCAGATGATTTCATTTCTTGCAACCACTTGAGGAAATAAAATTGTGTACCTTCAAGAAAATTTTTTTTACAGTGTACACGGGTAAAACAAACTGTGATCGACAACTGAAGCTTCATGAAGCACGTTTTTGACTCCCCCTTCGACTCCTAACCTTTATATTTAAACCAAGAGTGCTTCATGAAGCTTCGTGTTCCCATCCCAAACAAACACAATAAAACAACGACCCCTGCCTATCACTTCAAAGTGAAATCTGATATTTGTTTCCAAATACATATTTGAAGATAATTGCTGAAAACATGCAACGACTGGGAACTATGTGGCTGTCCTTCACTATATTGCTGTTTGCAAAAGAATTACGTGGCACGTACATCCTCTAGACGAGCGATACTGTGGATAATTTCGAGTTGTTGTCTTTATTTGTAATGCACAAGATGGCGGTTATCGTGAGAAATTGTCGAGAGAAGCGAAAGGGTCGGTAGAGGACAGCCACCTCCACCAATAAATATTGCCTGGCAGCAACATGAGTCAGTTATGGTTTCTACCTCCCGTTTTTTGGCCTGCTGTTGAAAATGTACGGTATATGCAATCCAAACAGCTGCACAAACTGCGACCATCTTCAGGATAAGTGGTGAGGAAAATGGATGGATGGACAACCTCACAACTCTCAACATCCAGCAGATAGAGCACAAAGACTCGTAAACAACACGAACATTAAATGTTACACAGCATGGCTGGCTGGGCTGAATCTTTTCGTCATCCGTTTCAATGAATTTAATTACCCAGCAATTGCTTCCTTTATGTGAACCTCTACCGTACTGTACATCATATATCATGGGCCATAATTTTGGCTCTTGTTTTGAAGTACTGTATTTCTTTTATGTGTGCACGACAGCACAATATCTGAGGGAAATGCGGGTGTCATCAATCACCGTATTGCAATGAGCTCACATTGCTCTCGTTGGAGCAAACTTAAGCTGAATTCTAACTGAAAGAGATGATTAACTATTTTTTTAAAAGCTTTTTTTTCCTTTGTGTTAAGTCATGAAAAATGAGCATGTGGCAAGCTCCAAGCATGTCGAATAACCCCGCAAAATGTCAAATGGGGCCCATCTCTTGCTGCAGAATCACAGAGCAAACAGCAAGTCTGGGGTGGCCAACTCATCAGGCAATTTGCACAGGCCGCCCAGCATGGGGCCTTTGAGTGGATAAATGGTCCCTCCCATAATGTCAAGCGTAAGCCTGAGTGAGAGGTTGGCAGGGAGTTAATGACACGCTGACTGGTGGGCTTTCGAGGCCCCCGTGACGTTTTTGCCTTCTACGGTTGGGGAGGCATACATATGTTTATTAGTGATGCCACTCAGGAGTGCCAGTCGATTCATATGCACTGATATTATTTAGAACTGATTAAAATGAATTGTACTCATCAGAACAGAGCATCATCCAATGACAACATTGGAATAATAAACCCCTCCCAGATCAGAGAGGGAAGTGAAGAAATGCTGTGTGAGTCATTGAGGGAAAAAAACAAACAGCTCTGTTGCCAAGAAA